GTTTCCTGTGAGACTTCCTGTCATGCAAGAAGAGCAAACCTGGATATCAGTGTTGCTGGTGCAACACGATAAAAAAATTCTGGAAAGACTTCTGCTCCGTACAAGTGTTTACAACAGCAGGATCTTTGGGAAACCAGGACTGAAACAGACCACTCAAAATCTATACAACCTTCTAGCTACAACAGCAACAAAATATTTAAGAGGTAATTTTGGCAGCCAGGGCAGCCAGTTCAGTGCAGCTGTAGGTCTTGGGTGGTCACTAAAAATGCACAAAACAGTTGACTGAAAATGTTTGCTTGAAGGTACTGTGATAACAGGTGTAAGGAAGCCCAGCGCAAAGGAGGGAAGGAGTGTGAGCTGCCGTGAGCTGAGGACCATGCTGGACTGGGTGTGTATCTCCTTCCCGAGAGAGCTCCCTGAATTGTGCTTATTTCACATTTTATTGAAACAGAGCTGAAGGGCTCCTGCCTCTGTAGTAGTTATGCTGAAGATTTTTGGTTTTCTACTTCTCTTGCTATTCTAGCTTTCCTTGCCAAAAAATACCTTTGTGTTTATAAGCACAATTCCATATTATTCGGATATCATTCTCTGATTTACCAGTGGTATCTGAATGAATTGAACTCTATTTAATTCATTTTATTGGGTGTTTATACATACAGCCCCATGTAATCATGACAGGTAAAGCTTAATTCTTCTGCTGTCACACTTCTGTTCTCTATATAGACCTCTACTTGACTTTCATAAAATACCAGGCTGACTTCCTTGTGTAGTATCTCTCTGTGCATGGCACGGAATCCCTTTGTGGGCTGGCCTTCCTCGTTCCATCGTTCTCTCTCTCTAGTGGAAGTCTTAACCTGTAGACTTCTGCCATACACAATCTCCCTTTGGCTCTCTTCTCTGTGTGTGCTTTCACTTGTGTTATTCCCCATACCTTTGCTTCTCCTCTGCCTGGAATATCTTTCTCCTTTCAACCTGCCCCATGCACTACTTATCTTCAGAACTCTATTCAAGTGTCACTTCTACACACCTTTCTCTGACATCTTCCTCTGAATACACGGGGGGCCTTTTACATCTTTAAGACTGCACGTACCATAGTGTACTGATTAAATGATTTTCATGTTTGCCCGGCATATAGAAGGTGACCAATAAACATTTGCTGAACTGCACTTGGCCTCCCCTTGGTAGGCCCCAAAGCAGGAAAGTCGTGAAAATGCTGTTCTAGTATTTTCAGAACTCTCATGGCATCTGAACAACCTGCAGTGAATAGGGCCTTTAAAAAGAAATTAGTACCGTAACAAAATGTACACCATCGGGCCACTCATCCAGGCAAAATTCGGAAGCTTGCCTGGGCAAGAGTATTGTTCTAGCAAAGAAGAAAAGACCAAGGAACAAGTTGAAGGATTAGAAAGAGTACTCCTATGTTATACATCTAAAATAAAGACTAAAATGTACTACGAAGTTCCTTAGAGATATCACCCAAATAGAGAGAGATAAATGCTACAAACATTCAAATGTTAAAAAGAAAGAATACCTTGTCCATCTTACTAATGAATCCAATATAAATGGAAGAAGTAGATGCAGAATCAATAAAATAGAGGTGAAGAAACTTGAGGAAAACCAAAGCTGTAACACTTGTAAGAATTTTTTAAGAAATACATCTTAATGAAAAGACCTATAGCAGAGCTTAATATCATATGCTTCACAAACTTGAGGGACTTCACCTTGCTCCTCACAATAAGAACAAAGCCCTCTGCATTTAACCTTCTATGGCTCTGTGTAATGGATCAGCATCTACATACAGGCATCAACTCTTCCCTATGGAATAGGTAAGTACACATTTACTTCAGCATGCCTTTGATTTAGACACAGACTGATTAAGAATGTGGCTTGGAAGTGTGGACCTCAGTTGAAAGGTGCCTGTGGACTTCAACCAGGTAGCAATGTCTACACGTTTTATATTCTTACATATTTCAGTCCCCATCTCTAAAAATACAGTGATGACCTTTTTCCCTGACCACTACCTACTGCAGGGAGCACAGAGGAGATGGGGTGATGCCACTTATTAAAACCTTGAATGTTCTGAAACACAGAACAAACTCTCACTGCAGCTATCACAGTATAAACCTTAACACTTTTTAGGACTTAAAATTCAAGTTTCACTAGGGAGTGGACTTGCCAGACACCAGGATGCTATGTAGCTCCATGCAGCAAACCCATCCAACAAAAGCAAAAAAAGACACAGCCAGTAAACACAGCTCATTAACAAAATCTCCCTAACCCCTAGACCTCTAACACTCACTTGAAAAATAGAAAATCTTATTCTCTTTCTAAGGAAATGCTTGTGTCTAGAAAGTTCCACAGAAGCATTTCAGAAAAACGCTTATGGAGAGAGTAAGGCTGCATATTTCCCTACCCCTTACCCATTGAACATTTCTTTTACAAGCCCATCACAGAATTACTTGCCTGTCTTCCTGGAGGGAGCCATAATTTCCTTATTTGCCTAACTATCCTATTTGCCTAACTTAAGGCTGATGTTAGCAGTTTCTCGCTGGCCTTGAGAATTTTTACCAATTAAAAAAAGTGAAAGTTAAAAAAAGTCTCAACAACTTCAGGTTGACAGCATATTTATTATTTAACTGAAAAGAGAAAAGGTGGAAAAGAGTATTTTACCCATATGATAGGGGAGATCCCATCTACTCTGTCCTATTTCATTATTCCTTTGTTGAATGAGAAAGTGTGATTTATTTATTCAGGAAATATTTATCGAATGTGCACTCTGCACTAAGTATTATGCATGGCCTGGAGCAACTTACAAACATAGTCCTTGTTCTCAAAGAGTCTAATAAAGAAAGGAAGAGAATACAAGGAAGAGAATTACATTAAATAAGCCCCTACTCTGCACTAGGTGGGCTGTTCTTATCAAATTTGATAACAACCCTTAGATAAGGCAGATGAAATCTTCCCCACTGTGAACTGAGCCTCAACAATTTCTCCAGAGTCAGAGTTCACAGCTGACTGTACTTGCACTTGAATTGGTCTAATTCCAAACTTCCCTTCCAAAAAAAATTTTAAAAAGTAGGAGAAAAACATAGAAAAAGAAATCACCCATTATCCTACTTCCTTGATACAAAACCATTAATATTTTAGCAAATTTCTTTTCAATTTTTTTTGAATGTGTTACTTTTCAAATTTTTAAAAATTTATTTCACAGTTATAATCAAAGTAGATTATAATGCATTTCGTTGCAACTATGACACCATTGACTGTGAAATGCTCCATTAGTCTCTATAACACCAGAAATAAAATTCACTACCAATTATATGATGCCACTGACTGTGAGATGTGCCCTGTTAAAAAGGGAAGGTAGAAAAGTGTGTGCTTCGAGTCAGTAACCTACTCTGTACTCTGCAGATCTTGTACTCATGCTGTCCACTCCTTCCCAGAGAGGTTCAGGGGCTCCACCCCAGGGGCCCTGAGTGTCCTCCACAATAGACACACTGCTGGAGTTTGCTGGGGGGTTGGCTGCAGAAGGAAGAGGGCTCTATTTATCTTCCTCACACATACGCTGCCTTGTGCATATCAGGCACTCAAGATTTTGAGTAAGTACAGAACAAAAGATTCAGAAGAAATGTATAAACAGAAGATGGTAAAAATTACTGTAGGTCTGAAGAATGGTGGAAGTCTTTAAGTTTTGTTGGGGTCCGGGGGACGGGGTTTGCTTAGGTACAATAGATAGGTGGGGAAGCGGGGAGATGGATGGAACCTTGAGCCAGAGCTAGTGGCCCTCCCTGGCTTTCCAGTGCTTTCTCACATTTCCTACAGGCAGCCACTGTCTTTACATTACCTCCTCTTTGCGGCTAAGGATTCTCCTTTCACGCTCTTATCCAAATCTAACTCTGCTGTATTGCTTGATGCTGCCATCTTGGGAAGTTATCAACACTTAGTTTGAACACTGCTTTAGATGGGATTAGAACACCACTCATTAATTTCAAATAATAACTCATATGGAAAAAAATCAGAAATCGGCAAGAGACAGATGGAAGAGCCATATATTTTAGGAGTTGAAATGCTCATTCTAAACAGATGGTAGCCCTTCTGCTTGTGTAGAAGGTCCGACTGCCCCAGAAGCAAAAAGACTTTCATAGTCTGTATGATTTGGCATTTCAACTTCCTGTGGACATCTAGTAGGATATACACCTGAATGGGTGAAATAGGTTTAAATAAAGAAGCCAAACCAGACTTAGTTCTCTGTGAATGTTGCTTATTAAAAATAAGATGGGCACATTTTAAAACCTATTGTGATTTCTCATGGTTCATTATCTTCTTTTCTTCCTCTACGTACCTAACAAGAATCTGTCTTGGCTACCGTATATGAAGAACTGTGTTACATTCCCGAAGAGAATTCTGCCCTCAAAAGAAGTGTACTCACTAAGAGGGAAGATACATTTACTCACAGATAAGTAAATGACAAGGTACACAGAGCAAAATTCTAGGAGGGAGATACAGGTTGAGATGCAAACAGAGTTCAAAGTGAGAAGAGATGACATCAGATTGGGGACCAGGAGCAGCTTCAGGGAGCGGGTATCATTTCCTCTGACCCTTGAGGGATGACAGGATCTGGCTTACGAGAATGGGGACGAAGACCTGGCATAGGAGGTGCACATGGACACAACAAGTCCAGTGGTCCCTTTCAGATGGGCTATCAATTGTTTAGGAATGGGGTGATGCTGCTACAGCCTATCCTTGTGGTGTCACAACACAGGTCCATGACCTGATCATCCCCTTGAACTGACCAGATTGGGTGTTTTAAGTCATGCCATTTTAGGGCCAAAGGCAGGAAAACACTATAGGATTTCATGTCTATAAAGGAAAATTCTACAGGCTTATGTGGGATGTATAACAAAACATCTGAGACCTGCAACTCGTAATAACACAGACACTTGATTGAAATCAACAGCACCACTTTTTGAAACCCAAGGGGCTGCCAGTCCCCTGCTGACCGTGGACGTGGATACCATTTGGCTGAAAAGAAGAGTTTGTCTCTGGCTGATAGGACTTCAGGTGTGGACCTGACGGCTGCTGGGTGTGAGGAGGCTGTGTTCTCTGCAGTATTGAGGAAGGAGCCGGAACTCTCCGGGGGCTGATGTGGTGAGGAGATGGAGCAGAAGGAGCAAACCTGGAAAAAACAATAATAAAAGGCAATGTGAGGGGCATAAAATAGCAGGGGCGAAGACAAAATGCTCCAGAGCCAATTGTAAATCCCCATTCTGGCTCTACGTGAGTGTGACAAGAGGGCCTTTAAAACGTTTTCAGGACCCTCTCTCTTTCTTTCAACTGCAGAGTTCTTAATTGAGATATTAAGGGAATAAAAGACAGCAACAAAGGAAAACCTAGGGTTTGTCAAGCTCCTTAAATTGCATTTCAAATACTCTGGGCTTGGTGAAATTCAAAGCACATATTTTGCCAGGGCCCTATTTCGGCTAATTTTGAAATCCGTTAGCATTTTAGGGGAAATTTGATCCGTATGTTTCTGAATCATTTACACTTAGCTCATAAACATTTTATTTTGTAAGACACATCTGAGCTCCAAGAAGTGTTACAAGTCCTTATTACGACCCTTTCTAATCCTATTCTTTTTAAACAATACATTTTCTTTTGCCAATAATAAATTAACTTAGACCTCAAAGGTCAAGTGTGGCTTGAAACCCAGAAGCCAAGAGGACTTGCACGGGTTCTGTGCTTGGCAAAGAACATTCCTGACAGGGCAGCAAAACACACTGCAGGACATCTTTTGCAGGACCATGTGCCAATCACAAGACTGCTGGTTTCTGTTGGGGGTGGTGGTGTGAGAACTGCCAAATAACCTGGGATAATAAACAGACGACTGTACACTGATCTGACTGTAAGGGAGAAACAGCAGGATCTGACTTACTAGGTTTAAAAGGACAGTGTATTCTTTCTAACAGTGAAGGGAAAATGTACTTGTGAGAACAATGTTAAAGCTCGGTAACATCCACAGAGAAACTAAACCATGCTCAACTCGCCATGTAAGTAACGGGCCGGTAGGAGTGCAGTAAAGGAAGGGGTAGCGAGTCTGTTGATGCAGTGAAATAAAACAGCAGAATAATTTTGCGGAAAATTATACCGGCAGTGAATTATTTAGTTCCGCCCCCTGCCAAAGCTATTAAGCTGGGATTTGTTTTACACTAACACATATAGGTCAGAAGCTGTCTGTATCACTTATTTCACAGTAACAAATAAATCCTCTTGGCTTGGCTTTTGTATATAGCCCTGGATGACAGATAAAAAGGGAAGATGAACCAGGCAAGTTTATAAACTAATTTCCAATGCTCTGAGCCGGAGTATCTAATAAAGCAGAACTTCTACGTTTGTGTTGCAGGTATAAGAAAGTGTAGGAAAAATTTGGGGTTCTTTTTGTGCTTCCCCTGCAAGGTGTGATATGGCTATGTAATACAGAGGTGGAGGAACCAAGGGGGGAGAGTTGGATCCATTAACCTCTGGAAGTCAGGGGAGGCTTAAGCAAACCAGATGTTCTAGGATCCCTATTAATTCATTATTTTCATTTTAACTCTGCTGAGAGAGAATAGTAACTGAGTGCCCTGTGCTGGGTAAATATATACTTTTCTAAGCACATCGTCCTAATTGGAATTATCCTAAAAAGATGTGCCTAATGGCCCTGAGAAAAAACACGGAAAATGAATCCTGACACTGCCCTGAGAACATCCAGTAAAACACATACGCCGGGATTCTTCATATGGAGGTGGTTTTCTGGGGGAACATGTCCTTAATATGTCTCAAAAGTTGCTCTGAGTTGTGGGAGAGGAATGAGGGGTTGTGGAACTGTGGCCCTTAGGGAAAGAGTCCCGACTATCACCCAATCCTGGAATCTCTGGGACCTTTAAAGGTCCCCAGGGGTAAAGAAGGGGCAGATAGTAAGGCAACCTGAGTCACAACTGCATTGTCAACTTTGCTCTCAGTTCTTTTTTTTTTTTTAATTTGATTGCTGTCTAATTCTATCTCCGCATTAAAGAATAATAATAGATGCAGCACACTCTAGATAGTTTTCTTCCAGTACCTTCCACTGTCTTCTTCCAAATGAGGACTGAATGGATCAGGACACACATGGACTCATAAATTGAAGTACACAGGCAGCAGGACCCTGATACAATTCATGTGATGGGAAAGGGGGTCCTACAATCCCCACCCCCACAGCACAATAAATTTGACTCATAAATAGGGCTTTGATTAACAAAGAGTAGAAAAGGTAGACGAAGAAAAACAAGGCAAAGATTCTTAGGAGTATAAAATCTTAGAATACATATATATTCTCTAATTATGTGCTCATTACAAATTATTATTATTTAACCCTTCACACAAGTTTCAAATTCTGACCGTACTTTCTTGGCTAACAAATATTACCCAATATAATAATGACATTGAATAAAGGGAAAAAATGTGGTAAGCGCGTATCACAATTTTATCATGGCTATCTCAGAGACCTAGGGGAATAAGACACTATGCTTTCTACTGATTCTCCATGTTGCTTTTCACTAATTTAGATAGAATTTTCTGTTATTCAAATAAATGAAATTATATGTCACCTTTTACACAATTTGAAGACATACTATGTCACCTCACGCAAAGTATTCATAATTTACATATAAACTATTCTAAGCAAAATAAAATGTATACATAAAATAGGCTTTGATTTGGAAAGAGAAGAATTAATACAAAAATTTTAATTTTTACATCTATAGAGAAATGAAACGTGACAAGAAATGATCACAGCCATCCACATATTGCTAGGGAAAAGGAAGTAAATGAGAATTCATTACTAAACAGTCCAGGGTAAGAAGTCTGTATATAAATAGGATTGATTTTCAAGCACAGCAGCTACAATGAATTTTGTGACCACCTAAAAATACCGTGCAGTATTTTATTGAAAAATCTCCCACAACCTATTAATTTAAATTTAACTTTTATAAACTTCGATACTTGTTAACCAGCGCATGGTAACAGCAGGAACGGTAAATAAAAATCACAGGTGGAGGACAGAAGAGGAACACAAGAGGGTGACACAGGGTCTCACTGCTAACCGCAAGGCTCCTGGGAGGACCCAGAAACAGTCACTAACAATTCCTAGCAAGACAGACACCAGAAAAATCATTTCAAAACCCAAATAAAGTCAAGAAACCAAGTAGCCTGAGGCCACTCAATGCAAAACAAATAACTAACAAACAGCATGCAGAAGCTCACTTGGCAACATGAGCCCTTCTTGCTATCATGAAGGAGGAAAGGGCTCAGACCTCCCTTGTAAGTGTCTGCACTTTCCAACTCTATATCTGTAGTATCAGTCTTTGTTATCAAAATGAATGTGCTCTGAATATTCTACTGCCCCTAAAATTTGAGAATTTTTTAAAGCACAGTAGTTGAATCAACTTTCTTGATGCTAAAATAAACTAAAGTTGCAATGCCGAGGATAAACTGTAGTTATTTACACTTTTTCTCTTACGGAACATCTCATTCTCTAGCTACCTCAGGCCGAGGTGATGTCACTCTGTTCCATTCCGAGCTACAGTGTGTGCGAGAGCCAGAAGAGCGAGCTTCCCAAATCTCTTCGAGGCCCAGCCCCATCCCACACTGCAGATGTGCAGAGGACATTTCCGAGATTTCACGCACACACCCCGTTAGCTTCTTCTGAAAGACTTTTTTTTTAAGACCTTGAAACAGATGACTGCTATGTAAGTAGGCACATAACAGACCAAGAGAAAAAAAAACCCACTGCTTACCAGAAACAGATCACACCAAAGCAAACCAGAGAACTGAGTCAAGCGTTTCCACTCAACTGGTGGTGAAGTTTGTATAACCTTAGCATGAGCAATGGCTTACCAAGACAAAAACAGCGAGTCGGGAAGGGGACAGGTTTACAGTCTCATAAAGATTCTCTTGGGGAGGGGAGGCTGCAAAGGATTCTGCAAATATTGACTTATACACGCACTGGAAAACGAGTCCTTGGGAGAATTTCTTGATCATGCTTCTTATTTTCTACACCCTTCTACACCCTCCTCCTCTTCTCCCTACCCCGTCCTCAGCTATCATTGAGCTCCCCAACCTTCAAGTGGGATGGGCCAGAATTAAAGTGCTCATGTTCTTCCTGGAAATGCCATCCCCAATCCCAGACTGCTTCACAAGTGGGTCACAAAAGGGACAAATACATTGTCAAGGCTCAAGAAGTGTGCAAATGGTAGGAGAAAGAGCTGAATACAGAAAGAAAAACTCATTAGAAGTCTGACCCACCTGGACTTGGATGCCGGCTTACTACCTGGAAAATTGTGAATAAATTCCCTAACTTCTCCCAGCTTCTGTTTCAAGTGTGAAATAAAGACATCTCAACTCTCACCAGGGATTAGAGTGTGAGACAATATTTATTTATTCATTCAAGATATATGTACTGAGCCAGGTTTCTGACAGTCTAAGTTCTAGGAATAGAGTGATGAAGGACACATGTTTCTGTCCTTTTAGAATTTATATTTTAGTGAGGGGAAGCAGAGAATCAATTTATTTCAGTAAGAAAACTAAGTCATGGGCTAGAAGAGATGAGCGCTGTAGAGTACGTTTCTCCATAAACAAGTAAGAGACAGGAGTTGGGTGGATTATGAAGAATTTTACATTGAAGTTAGGAACATCAAAGCACTTAAGGAATGTCCAGGAACTTCAGGTGATCAATGTACATTTCTGAAATGACTGATCTAAACAGAATGTACATTTAGGGTATCCCTGACATTGCCATGTGGCCTGCTGCTTGAGGGGTGTGTAAGACTGTTGCAGCACTGCATTAGAATACCTAGGGTTCTCAAAATTTAAAAAGAAAGGATTATTTTTCTCCCTTGGCTAGTTAGAGATGAGAACTACGTCTCAAGGAATAGAAAATATTTGCTCCTCTGGTTAATTTTCCAGTACCTGGAGCAGTGAGTCTTGGTCTTAGGTAAGAGTCTGATTTCTTGATACTGGGTTCTTGGATGGAGGGTACTGAGTTCACAAATTGATAGAATCACGGAATGTTCTAGCTGGAAGTGTACTTCAGAGTACAAATTTTTTTGCGGGGGTGAGAAAAAAAGGAGGCCTTCAGGTCCTTAAATGAGTTGCCCCAAATCA